AAGATACCACGGTGAATGGTACAGATTCAGATTCTGCCTCCCATGGCTGAATAAATAAATTAACAAACATATAATTGTTTTAACACCTGCACTGCATTTATATCCCAAATATTTGCCAAACCCTTGGCAATCCTTTGCATCAAATGCCACATAACACAAGCAATAAGAAATCTCATTCCTTTTTTGAAATATTTTTGGTAATATTGTGCTGCCTGGAAAGGAGATCTGAAGTACTCTTTACTACAGGGGTTTGGGTTGTAGCCGTGTTGGTCTAAGGACATAGGCAGACAAGGTTCCTTGGGTGAATTTGATATCTTTTATTAATAAAAGATATCAAATTCACCCAAGGAACCTTGTCTTTACTACAGAGCATTTTTAGAATTGGTACAGCTTCGGCAGTAAGAGTGCAACTGATCTCACAATTAATGTGTCCCAATCTTAACATAGAGGTTCATTTCCAAGGCTTACAGAGGGGTTTGCACTTGGCAATTCATGCAGTATCGGAGGTATGAAGTGGACAGTTTGCATATACAAAACCCAGAAGCCACTCCACACAGGACAGAGAATAGCTTTTGGATGCAATGATTTTGGGTCAGTACTGCTCTTGAACAGCTTAAAACCAATGAACTGAAGAGGCAAGATGCTGAATCTCCATGTATACCTGGAGCTATCATGCATTCCAGAGTTTTAACCCTGAGTGTGGCATCCCTCTTTCACAGACTCTCTAATGTTTGGCTAGAGACATTTCTTCATTTCTATTTGACTGCTTTAAGTAAGAATTCAAAGCCTTCTTCATCTAGAAATCAGACAGATGAGTCTCTGAAGACAGGTTCTTTCACGTGCACTTTTCTTTTTTTTTGGACCTGGCAGCAATGAGACATCTGGCCACCCTAGAGCTACCTGAAGATTCAATAATACAAGTGAGTTCTTAAGAAACAATGGATGTTTTCATGTTACCAGAAAAAATGAATGAATGCAGAGAAATACAACAAATATAATCAGAAACATGGCTGAAAGGGAACATTATCTTTGAAGGGCCAGGGACAAAGAATGATGATGATGAGGAGGAGGTGTAAACCACAAAAATAAAAGAAAGAAATCCAGAAGGCAATCTCAATTCCTTACGTAAACATCTCTGTCCTTTGTCTACAGCTGTGAGCAATGCACTTCTACCACCTTTGACCTCCGATCTTCATACTGTCTTTGCTTCTTGCTGCATTTAATGTTACTGTCTACGGTCAATATTAACGTGACTCATGGCTTAATGCGGAGGCTAGATGGTGGCAAGAAACAGCAGTTCACTGCCTTTGGAGGATGGGGAATTTATAGAGGGTAGAAGCAGAGCTGGGAATCAAATAGGAGGATGTAAAGAAACCATACAAACTTTCAGCCATAGCTTGAAATGCTATTTTATGGCACCCTCATAAGAAGACATTAAGAGACTGCAGCAGGTAAAGCAGCCCTACGGAGCAATGCAACAACATAGTCAGGGATACTTTAGAATGAGAGTGGAGGCCCTGGCATCCAGTGGATCCAAAAAGATCTTGTGGGAGTGGATCTACTCCTTCCACCTTAAAGTTTATAAACGCTACTCCCAACGCCAGTGTCCATAGGACACTATGGACACCCATTGCAACCTCCTACTTTCATCCAACTGCCACTAGTGAATGAATTAGATTTATTTGTAATAATTATTATTTAAATTTATTTTACTCTATTCTAGTTTTTCCAATATATTTTGTCTATGAGGCAACTACTTGATTCTTTTGCATAGTGCTTAAATCAATTATATTAATCCCAATTAAACTCTATGGCTATAGCATTTCAAGCTAAAAAATAAATATGCTTCTTATTCAGTGCAGAACAGCACAACCATGACATCTTCAAGCAAGAAAAAAAATGAAGAAAATGGCATCATTAGCTTTCTATCACAGCCAGGGATTTGCTATGTTCACTTCTTTAGGATAATTAGGAGCTAGACCTTTTACATGCTACACAGATGCTTACCAAAATAACCCACTGTAATGCAGTTGGCCTGAATTGTGTAAACATTATTATAATATTCTTTCAAACTACAGATTTCTCATATAGGTCCCTGGACAATAAGGGGATTTTATCCTTAATGTACTCAGTAAATTAGATTCTAAGAGAACATGCACATTTCCCAAGTCGCTCTTTTTTTCCCCCCCACAGTACCCGATATAGATATAGGCTACCTTTATAATTACTGTATGTTATTTGAACTAACAGTGCCCAGGACAAAGGAACCCTGGTCTCTGATTGGGTTCTTCAGGCATCACCACATCACATATGATAATGCAGCCTGTCTCCAATAGCAAAGATGAGAACAGTTATCTCTGTGGTGTTGACTACATGAGTTTATAAAACTAGGATTTAATTGAGGCTATTGCGTTCTGCAAGAAAAGAACAGATTTAGCCATGTGGTTTGAGAGTGATAAATAGATACGGGGCTGAAAGGCATTAGACGAGGACGAGACTATTGCTCAGGCACCATGATACCTGCTGTGTGATATTAACTAGCTTAGGTTTAATGCAACCTTATTTTAGAAAATGTTGAACTCTTTGTTTCTAATTGCAAACAAACCAGCAAAGCAACCAGCCATAATGACAGCAGAGACTTTGGATGCTACTTCTGCTATATAAGAAGACAGAGGTTAATATTCCCCAAAGGCCCTGAGGGTTCATGTAGACTGTGTCCCTTCTCCCCCAACACAGAATCATAGGGCTGGAACAGAGCTCAGAGGTCATCTGTTCAACCCCATGCAAGAAGGAGGGGACTGTACTCCTCAATCTTCCCTGACCACTGCTTATCCAACCTCTTAAAAACCTCCAGTGAAGGAGCATCCACAGCTTCCCTGGGTAATCTGTTCCACTGCTTCACTGTTTTAACAGTAAGGAAGATCTTAGTGAGTGCGTCTACATGAGATGTTTACTGTGGAGTTGCCTAATTAGCTCCTGCAGTAAAGTATCACCATCTACACGTGTGGAGCTATTAGACTGGAGTAAACTAATTAACTCCACCATAGGTTAATACTGGACAATGCAACTACGAACCTATGGCGGAGGTACTTAATCTGCCACAACGTACATGAAGACGGTGACTGGGGCACAAGGGTGCTACAGCATGGGGGCTGTCTGCTGGCTGGCCCCACACTGTAGCACCCTCTTGCCCCAGCCAGCCCCCCTGCAGCATGTTGAGCTCGGGCTGGGGGAGCAGCTCCGGACTTGCAGCTGCGGTCCCGGACCCATGTGCAAATGCTGCTCCCAGGAGCAATAAACTCCGGTGCAAACTGCAACAGAGTTTATTTAGCCATGTTACTTTCATGTGTAGATGTGCCTAGTGATAACTAATCTAAATCTACATTACTGCAGTTTGAAGCCAGCAATTCACATTGTACCCTCTTCAGTAAGGAAGAGGAACCATTCTCTCTCTTCAGATATTTGAAGGCTGCTATCATGACCTCCCCGCAGCCCCCAATTCAATTACCATAATTGCCATATCT